ATCAAACAAATTGTTTCATTCATTTAACCGCTTACAGTACAAAATGTACAAATAGAGGGAATTAAACGTCCTCCAGCATTAATACAACATAATTGAAACGCAATAAATCATAAAACAGATAAATCATCGTAGAAGATGGACAGCGAATCTAAGGCATGCCTCAGATGCGTCAAGAGGGTCTTCGCGGCAAAGCCGAAGATTCTCAGAATAATCACTTTACACTATGACTTTGAAGATCCCGGCGTAAAGCTCAGGAGTTCGACCACTCTCCGAGAGAGGAAATAAGATACGACATGTCTCAAAGAGATGGAATACGGTGAATTTAAACTCATCCACTGGAAGTAATTGCAAGATTTGTGAATCCATAAAATTTTAGGCTTCTCAACAAGGAGAAGCCAATGGGCTCAAAAGCTAATGAGATTTTTCCAAATCTGGTTTTTGATATTAAATGGGCTGGGTCAGGATTAATGAGTGTAGTACTCCAATTGGGCTTCAGCAGAGCCTTAAAAGGCATGTTTATTGAGCTAGGAGGCCCATTACACGAACCGGGCCAGACCCGTAATTTTCATAGGTTGAGGCTTATTGGGTTATGCCTAATAAATGGGCTAGGAGACCTAAAAACCAATCTGGGCGAGGCCCATATTTTCATTAGGGTTTGGAGGAGATCAGGTTTGTTGGTTTTCGAACAGGGGAGGTGTGGCCGCCGAGACCGGCCGGAGGAGTATCGCGACGGGAACAACGATCAGGAATCAGGAGTCGGAGCCATGTCGTCTTCTCTACCAGAGCCGAACACTTGTCTGGTATGAGAAATCTGTGGGCCGGAATGAGTTCTCGGCTCCGTAGGGGTTGGTGCAGCCGGCGGAGCAGAGTTTGAAGTCACCGAGCGAGCTGGGGGTAGGGTAATCGCCACGTCGTTACAGTACCGGGGAAGTGGATCTAACGCCCATGGTCTTGTCCCTGGATCCGGTGGGACTGGCGGGTCCGGTGGTTCTGGCGGTGGAGGAGAGAGTTTCCTCCTTGAGACCGTCTTCAACCACAAGAGGGAGTAAGCGGATCTCCTCTCTGCAAACGGTTTACCGCCCGTTGAGAGCAGGAGGGCTCGACTCACTGTGGAAGACAACATCTCGGGTGAAGGGAGAAGATAAGAGAGCGACGGGTTTAACTAACCGGAGGGGAGAAGGAGCAAGACGTCGTTCAGGAGGAGCAGGGCTTGGAGCTTGAATGCCGGAGGCTTGGCTTCATTTTCCGGTGAACATTCGCCGTGTCTCAATCTCCGCGTTTGGGAGGATTTGAAACTAGCGCGTGTGTTGCAGACGCTCGTTTTTTGTTTTTTTATATGATCATTTTTCAAATCTATATACCAAAGAAGAAACTAGTCAGATATAGTTATCATCAAAGTGTGTAAAAAAATCTATATCATCAAAATAAAACATTATCTTATATCATATTTTTTATTTTTCATATGTCGTGTGAGGTGCACCGGGAAACTTATAATGAGTACATTTAACATAGCAAAAGGGACGAAGGTGCGAGGAGTCAAAGAATGCACCAAAATACAAAAAATCAACCTCAATTTTTATATTTTTTTTTCG